TAAGACAAGGTCTCGCTCTGTCACCCAGGCTGCAGTGCAGTGGTGCAATCACAGTGCACAGCAACCTCAACCTCCTAGACTTTTAAGCAATCCTCCTGCCTCTGCCGCCCAAGTAGTTGGGTCTACAGGCATGCACCACCATGCCTGGCTAATTTTTATATTTTTTGTAGAGACAGAGTTTTGCCATGTTGCCTAGGCTGGTCTTAAAATTCTGGGCTCAAGCAATCTGCCTGCCTTGGCCTTCCAAAGTGCTGAGATTACACACGTGAGCCACCATGCCCAGCGTATCTGTCCATTCTTATAAAAACTTTTTTCATTAAAAAATTTAAAACTAATGCTCTTTGTAACATATTAACAATCCAAAACCAAAATTTTCTCAACTTAAAATACTTCATTAAAGCCATATATACTTAGAAGATATAATTTAAGAAGGAAAACAACTACAGAATTTTAAAACTACTGTCCAAAGGTTCACTAGTTTTAAAATTAGGGTAAAAGAAGCTAGAACTTGATTTAGGATAATGTTTTGATAATGTACTATAAAAAGAAAGACATGCCAATAAATTCAAAATTACTAAACAGAAGAAAACTTCTGATTTTTCAAAAGAACAATCACTTATTCTTCTCTTTCTCCCTCCAAACATGTATGCTACAGCATCATAGAACTTTCTCAGGTTTATTCTCTGGATAGAAAACAACACAGAGAAAACCTGAAATACTGTCCCCTTTCCTCCTCACACACAAAGTTCCATCTATCAGAGGGTGGGTGTGGTGAGAAAAATTCCAATTTTACCATCAGTTTATTAGATGAAGTTGGGCAGGGTAGTGATAGGTGATTTGCCAGAGGTTAAAGGTTAAAAAGATCAAAAAAAGCTCCATATCTTCCTGTTTCAAAGTCCAATACTCTATCAACTAGCCCACAGATGATAATATTCCTGTCGACAACAGTTTAAATTACATACATTTACCCTAACATCTAGGGGAATCGTGGCTCAGTGACACAGATCAGTTTTTGTTAATTCATAAAATGTGAATTTTGCTAAGCCAAAATCAATTACTTATTCCACAAAATTGTCGCCAAAGTGCTACAAAGAGTAGATAAAATAGGCAAAAATCAGTCATTGTCATCATCTATATTAGCATATTATATAATAAAACCCATATAGGTTAAGCCGCCATTCAAAATACATTTCCGGCCAGGCACAGTAGCTCATGCCTGTAATGAGAAATACACCTTTGTAGTGAAGGGCAGTTTTTTGTGCGTGAAATAATAATGTTAGTATTATAATTACTATCCCCAAGGGATAAAAATGTACTACCATTTTTGTAAAAGAATGTAAATTTAGTGTCCTTTAGACACAGAATAACTGACTGTTTTTGCTCCAAAGAACTTTTTCAGTTTTGAGAGTGTACAAAGCCTGGATAAAATTTAAGTTTTAAGATACTTTGATAATATACTTTTCCTCAAAGCATTATAGTTATGTTGGCATTTTTAATTAACCAGAATATTTCCTATTTTCACAGGTTATCTCAATGTTAAAGACAGAACTCTCAGGCATCATTAGGATTCCTCACAACTGCTAAGAAACTCCCTTTGAGAAATAGCCAATGTTAACATGTACTGCTAACTGAACTATGAATATCTAACTAGTCTCAAATGACTCACACTAAGGTGCTACAGATTTGCTTTAAAAATTATGCACAGAATGGTTTGGTGCAGATAAGTTAGGCTTTTTCAGCTGAGAATTTCCGAAGATGAGAGAGAACTTCTACCGGGAGGGCAGGTACCTGCACATGGAAGGAGCTGAGGTGTCTAAAGTCACCCAAACTTGTCATTTTAAAAAGCATGTATAAATAAAAGATACTATTTTGAAAAGGGATAAAAGTTGGAAACAATTTTTTGTTGGCTTATAAGCTAAGTGTGAGATATTCCTACCTTCTGACATTCAAAGTCATTATACTTTCAACTGGTCTGCTCTTTGGTCCACTTGGTGGGTGGAAAATCTTATTGTCTTTGCCAGAGATCTTTTCCAATTTAGTCACATAAGGGTCGGCAGAATGTGATGGGTAAGGATCAAATGTACCTGCCTTCATTCCACCAGGCTGCAAAGAAATATGAGACAACTTCATGTGATTTCGTAAAATGCCTCTACGAAATTAGCTTGTGAAGAAGTTCACACACATTTTGGTAGCCTGTGGAGTTGGTTTTAAAGGAAATGATACTGTTTAATTCAAATACCACCAAAAGGTCTCCCTATCACCAGCTTTATAGGGTCAAAACATCATAATCCAAAAGCTCTCTATAAAAATGACAGTGTTTGTAGTAAGGTAACAGTCTAAACTATTGCCAAGCATTAATATTTTAGCGTTTATCAGACCAGGGTATCACTTAGTTAGCAAGTGAGTCTATTCAGTAAGGGAAAACCTAGGTCAGATGTATTTTGATAGAGAATGGGGAACAAGGAGGATGGCACAACATGAGTTTACTAAATGCAGTCAGTAATGGAGAAGATACTTTAAAAAAAAGCAATAAGCAATAGCATATGGAAATAGAAAGTGAGAGGCAGATGAGATGGACTTTACTGTTCTTGTAGTAGACTAAGAGAAGTCAATCAAAACATGTTTTAACCTATACACAAGACAGAAATATTTGCTTTGACTTCTTAAACTGATTTGACAGAATTTTAAACTTAATATTCTACATAGTCACCAGGAGAATTCTATAGAATCATAACTGATTTAATTAGGTACCCTTTCCTTATAGTATCTATGCCAAATATACATGAAGATTTAATTCATTTGAAAGATACAATTATAAGTTTTCAGGTTTTCCCAACTGAAAACACATGGATTAAAGATCACAATAATAAGAAAACTTAAGAAAGCTTAAATAAATTAAAAGTATAAAAGCAAAATGAATTAAAAATAGAAAAAACACAGATTAAATAAATCCAAGTGATGCTTTAAAAAGTAGATTAATAGCTAAATCTGTAATAGAATCCAGAATGCAAAATAAGTGAGGAAAGTCTATACCTATATTAAATGTCAAAAATATAAAATAATATTTCTGTTGTTGTATTGGACCGAGCGTAGAAAGTTAGCACCAAGACAAAAGTATGCCAGATTGCAGGGTCATTTATTATGCCGGCGACCACAGAGGACTCACGTCTCTCCAACCTGTGGTGTCAAAAGGAGGGTGCCAAGACTTTTTATACCCGAAAAATCACCTTGGGTGTGGGAGTGAGGAGTGGGGATGGGGATGAAAAGGTTTCGGACATTCCAAGGGCATGGGGATTCTGTGATTCACCTCCTGGGCGGAGACGAGGGCGGGGGTCTCCAGACATCCCAAGGTCCAGGGGACTTTTGTCATTCTGTTTGTTACTTCAGTGGTTTACAGAAGTCAAGATAAGCATTTGTTTACACACTGATCTTAGTTATCCTGGGCTGCTTATTTTAGTTATTACTAAATAACTAAAGCAAAGGCTAGCAATTCTGGCACAATATCACACTGTAAACTTCTATGTGAATAAATTCAAAAACCTGAATAAAATGACTGATTGTCTAAGAAAATATAAATAATCAACACCGACCAAAAAGAGATAGAAAACCTACACAAAACAGATGTCCCTATGCAACAATCCTGCATGATCTGCATATGTACCCCAGAACCTAAAGTACAATAAAAAATTATTGTAAAATAAATGTTAATATATCCAAAAATATAAAGAGTAAATTTTATAACAAAATATCAAAGGTCTTTTTCTTTTTGGAACTTTAGAAAATAATTCTGAAGTTCTGAGAATATGGCAGAATAACCAGCATAACTTTTTTTTTTTTTTTTGAGATAGAGTCTCACTCTGCTGCCCAGGCTAGAGTGCAGTGGTGTAATTACGGCTCACTGCAACCTCCGCCTCCCAGGTTCAAGTGATTTTCCTGCCTCAGCCTCTGGAGTAGCTGGGATTACAGGCACCTGCCACCACGCCCGGCTAATTTTTTATATTTTTAGTAGAGACGGGGTTTCACCATGTTGGGCAGGCTGATCTCAAACTCCTGACCTCATGATCTGCCGACCTCGGACTCCCAAAGTGCTGGGATTACAAGCGTAAGCCACCGTGCCCAGCCAGCATAATTTAAAGAGTAAGAAGAGACTAGACCACTCACTATTAAACATAATAGAAATTAAAAGTTTTTTGGGGGCAGAAATAGTCAAATGAAATGAAAACTCAGAAACATACCTTCAAAAATAAGAATTTGGGGTTTGATAAAAACAGCATTTCAAAGTAATGGTGTTAAAAATGAATTATTCCATCAGTCATATTAGGAACAGCTTGATTTTTAAAAAATCAGTTTTATTAAAGTCTAATTAACCTACAATAAACTATACTCCATTTAAAGTGTACAATGCTATGAGTTTTGACAGATGTCTACACCCTTGAAATGACAATTACAATTCAGATACAGAACATTTCCACCCTCTGCTCAAAGTGTCCTCATACCCCCAAACTAAATAAAAGCTGGATTCTTACCTCACTCTTTACATCAAAATGTATTTTAGATAAATATTTAAACGCAAAAGGATAAGACTAATAGAAGAAATTAAGAAGACACATTATTCTAATATTGGTGGTAAAGAGGGCCATTCTGAAAATGACACAAACCTTACCAACAATGGACTGATAAATCTGACTACATCAACTTATTAAATTCCTGAATAGCACAAAACACCATAACCAAAGATCCAATAGATTTTAAAAATTATTTTAACACAAATAACAAAAGTAGTACCCTTAATATATGAAGAGACCTTACAAGACATCTTACAGTATTAAAAACATAAACTTCGAAATACAAAGTCTTCAAGAAAAATGAACAGGCAGTTTACAGATAAAAAAGTATAGACTAAGGTTTATAAACTGCTGAAGCATTTTAATTTTTATCACTTGTTAACTTCTGTAGTAGGGAGATAGTTAATTTTAATTACCATTTCAAAAACTAAAGGATGGTTTGGCTTTTTTTTTTTTTTTTTTTTT